GCCGAGCCGAGCCGAGTTTTAGTAATTGCCCAAAAATGAACCGAGAGATGCTAAATCTAAATTAGCGGGAACCGGAAATGGAAATAGGATGCTTATTTGTCTAAAGAAAATGAAACAGTCCGTCCTTTCTCGGAAACCGCTTACACTATTGTATGACGATGAACTTGTTCTTTTGATCAGGGCGATGTGCTTTCGTATAATCAGTAAAAGCAATGAGCGTAACAATCTAAGAAATTTAAGCATTAGTTTTAATACTGCAATATGCAAATTTAATGGCACTATGAGAGAGATTATAAGGCAGTCAGTCATGCTGTACTTCAGCAAAACATGCACAAATTGTCATGCTTTTTTGCAGTTCGCGATTTTCGAAGCATGAAATGTACATAAATGGAGTGAAGCAGCAATCGAAGAGTAAATTCCGCGCGTTCATGGAGTACAAAGGTATACCTTGTTCTAATCGCAAAGAATAGCAAAATTTTTATAACGAATGCTTCCAGTTTCACTTCGCCTCTGACTGATTCGTTAAAAATACGATCAAAGTTGTGGCTGTCTCTGTGCGCTGCAGTGCCCGTGCATGATGCTTCTGCGTCATGTCTCAGTGCTTCGTGGCTTACAATCTACCGCGCGCCACGATTGATGCGTCATGACGTGTGTAAATCTGGTGTCTCAAAACAAGCGTAAAATAGGCTCCCAAATCTATCCACTTTAGTGTGAAAGGATATTTAATACGAGTGCAGGAAAGCACAAGCATTTTAACGCTTACCAATTATAGAGCAACATGTTAGGTGTTGCATTCCGCTAAGCACTCGAATTAGAAAGGAATTACGTTTCAGCTGTGACGTTTTTCTCGTTGCTAATAATATTACCGAAATAAAAGAAATGTTGCAAAAGCTCAGCTTCTAAAGAAGTAAGGAAGGACGTTGCCATGAAAATAAACTTATTGCAAAGCGCCCACGGGTAAACCATAACTATACTCCACGAACTTGAACGGAATTGACTGGACCAAAAAAAAAAAAAATATTCACCAAAATGTCTTGCTAGAGAACGCACGTTAAAAACTGTCAAATTTTGTAAAATCGTCGATATTCTGAGAGTATCAAATCGAAAAACCCATTTATTCCGTGCTAAAAGTATTGATTGCGAATATGAAACGTGGTCACTCATTAACAGAAACAAACGAAGCGGAACAACGATGGGATGAGAGCTGCTTTGAGAGTAGCCTTCTAAATAATTTACTGAACAGCATGAAGCATAGGATTAGAAGTATGAAAGAAAGTAAAATCAGATGTACAGAATGTGTTTTTGGTCGTTTGTTAACAGTCATTGGTGAATTAGTAGCATCTGGTATGGATGAGAAAAAAAAAACAGCCATTTGACCGGCTTCAGAAAAGATTGACGCTTACGGAACACAACCAGTGAAGATAAAGGCCTTCAGCAGACCTTTCCAACTCTAGCTATGAGGAGTTTTGACGAGTTTTTGCTTTCTCGATTTGCTTTACGTTGTGAACTTAAACAGCCAGTTTATTTTTGTTGACTACGACAAAAGTCATAAAAAAATAACATCTTTAGGCCCAGATGGAGGTTTCCGAGTAAAACTGCGCGACAACTCAGAGGAAGATCTTTCGGAGGAAGAAGCGGATGACGCGAGCGACGATGTTGTAGTGGATGCGCAGTCACA